TGATAGAGAGACCTTCTACTACGCTACGTTTCACTTCACGACGGACCGCAGCGAGCGCTACGAGCCATCCCAGCGAATCCAGCGCCACGAATGTATCACGTGGCTGCGTGCCCTGCGCGTCTTTGCGCCCCTCCTGAAGGTCACGTGATACTCACGCGTCGTGTGATTGGCTTCGATGATTGGCAGCGTTCTCTTCGCTCCATCGTAATGTGGAAACGGAGTACACCCGCTGTTCCCGCGGAAGCGGGCGTTAGGGCTGGGGGTCAGATCGAACGCGGTGATGAAACAAGCGCCTCGCCGCGCAACAAAGGAAGTGAAAACACACGTGGTGGTGGGGAGGGCATCTTGGGCGCGGGCGATAACGACCAGCGTGAGTGCGGTCCCGAAATGCCACTTAGGCGAGCGGGGTGTGGGGGGGAGGCGTGCATATCTGCGGAGTGCCAGGTTTCATAAGGGGACCTGCTGCGTGGATGCCACCAGAGGTTTCTGCTCTCCCTTCAGGAGCGCCGGGGGCCACTCGCGGCGGCGGCGGCCAGTTTGTGATTCTATTATGGCCGAATTAGGGAAGGATTGGCCCCGCGGGGGGAAACAGGGTTTTGGGACTGGTGTGTTTGGGCGGGGGACGCTATCACGTTGCTCTTGAGAGCTTAAGCGTATTAAGGCGTTGTTTTTCACTGTCGCGGCGGGGGATCGAACGCTAGATTGGGAGGGGAAGCTTCAAAAACGACGCGGGATAAAGGGGAGCGACCGGGACACTCGTGCTACCGCAAAAAGCCTCGCTGTTCGGATAGATTTTTAATATGTCGAAGGTGGATAGTAGGCATCGAGATTACTCAATTAGATTTTGTTCAATCTCGTTGATAATTTTGTTTAGGAATCTAATAGTAACGGGGCAGCACTATTCCGTAAAGCGCTGAACAGGTTCTTTTTGTTGACCGTAAACACAGTAAAACCAAAAATAGTTATTTGGTAAATGTCTAGTTACAATAAACGTGTTCGACCCTTTACTGGTTCGGAGGAGTTGGACAAGTGCCCCGGAGTTAGCTCGGCTAACGATGAACTTCTGGTCCCATGCGGTTGCCGCTATACAATCGCCCACTTAGTAAATCAAAGTTTTTCTCTCAATCCGTCATACCAGCGCTGATGCTAATTGTGAACTACACATGCAATTAACCGCGAACTCATTTGGTCCGATACAAATCCCAGCATTCGATTTTATTCTTCCGCACACATCCTTCATCTCGCGCCGCTATATATTTTTATACGAACGCATTTGTTTGTTATCGCAATGCACCGCAATATATCACCGCGACGGGCGCACGCGCCGCGGCTGACGCAATTGAGCATAATATTCAGTGTGGTTACACGTCGTGCACGCTCTCAAGCGACGCGGAACCCTCGTGACGACGTATCTATCAAAGCGCCATCTATTCGCCTAATAGATAATCAGACCGATCAACCCCTCCCCGTAATAACAGCCCGCGACACACTCGACGCAAAGTGGCAAGCGCTGTCCTCTCTGTCTTGCGATTAGCGCCGGAAAGGGGGCCACTTCTGGGACTGCCTGGCCAAGGGGGAAAGGGGGAGAGGTTTCGGTGAAACCTCGTGGAGCTCTCGTGGATCTCTTTTGGAACGCTGTGGGACAGCCGTCCCGTCCACTTTCCGCGCTGCGTGAGGCAACCAAATGGGTTGGTAATTGGAGAGGCTGGGAGATGGGATCGGAAGCCGTAGCGTCTCTGGCGTTGTGTTTACTTAGTAAACTCTATACCTCTTATCATCATAATAAGCCGCGTCCTGCATTTCTTTACAAATATCTGAATTCACCACATAAAGTGGCAAAATAGTAACGCTTCCCGAGGTGCCGAACTTGTTTCACGACGGTTATTGAGACGAGAAGGAGTATGGAAGAATGTTTGCTTTCCTTGACGACATGAATGCGTGAGTGGCGGCGGTGTAGATATAGCATTTTTTTTTAATGCTTACTGAATACCTGTCTCGAAGTGGTTAGGAAAGGTATATCGAATGGGAGACGGTGTCGGAGGCTAATCAGCTAATCAGTCGTGGGGCCGTAGGTGCAAAGGAAGAAAGGAAGCGGTATAAAGAGCATAAAGGTGTTGTAGTTCGGCCGGTGTTTTAGTACGCCTGAGGTCATGGAAAACGTAATGTAGGTGTACACTCGTGTATGATGAGGAGGTACTCGGGTGGAGACGTTTTCTTGCGTGTCATCTAACAGATGAACTGTTCCTGAGACTATTAAATAATAACTGATGCATACTAATATCTTTTCGTAGAGTAATTTTATTGTTCTCTCGGTATCCGACAAAACAAATTCTTCGCCTCTTATCTTTTTATTCTTTCGGATTGGCAGAAATTGATGGTTTTGAACAATCCCTGTATCTATATACTCGTTGAAATGATGCCGCTTTTTTAAATATTTATTTAAAGACGAGAGGCTGTTTCAATAATTCTCCCGACTCGAACATCGCTCCTGCCCCTTCCAGCAACCCTAGATGCCTGGGAAATTCAGGAACACTGAGGCTGGTCCCACTGATCCCCTCCATGTTAGTTCAATTTGTTTCTATATCTTTTTCTCCCCTGCTATCTAACGCTACTATAAAGTAGCGGATTGAAGCGCGCTAACCACCTAGAACAAAGTCTTTTTTTTTTCCTCAATAAACCTCTGTATTCTAATAAAACATCCGTGACCTGAAGCCCTGTTGGCATTTCATAAAAAAGGGACATATACGCCACTAATATCAGTTTTATTTAATCTTAGGTGCTGTGCCATGCGATTTACTTTCAGGTGAGCAAGAAAATTCGGCATAGCTCCCGTGCTTCTTTCCGGTATGTAATGCCCGTAAAGATTTTCTCTTCTTTCTCCGACAAATGACAAAAAAAAAAAAAAAAAAAGCAACAAAGCACCGAGGTTGCCTGAGAAGAAACGTCGTCCGAGAAGCCAAGAGACCGGAATCCGATCGATTTTCCTCTCCCGCGCCCTTCTTTCAGCCCTGTTCCCGCGCGAGAAATAAAGAGGAGGCCACGAAAGCGTCAAGGGGGCGCTGCGAAAGTGCCGGAACAGCGCACGCGCCACGAAATGCGTTTTACATGTCGTCTGAACCGGCCCTCCTCGGCCCCCCTTCCCCCACGTAGCACCTCCACCGAATTGTCTCCCTTTCTTTTTATTATTCCACTCTTTCTGCTACGTTCATTCCCTCTCTTTCACCGTCCGCGCCCCGGTGGCGAAGGTGCGTCTTCGTTCGTTCCGCCTGGGGTCTTCTCGGTCGATCCAGCGAGCCCCCAATACTCCATTTCGCCTCACGACGAACCTCAGCGGAAGCCACGCGAGCCATTCCAGCCAACCCTATGCCGCAAACGTATACCACGTGACCGCGCGGCATAGCCCCTACGTCGCTGCCTGCGGCCCTCCCCAAGGTCACGTGACACCCACGCGGTGTTGCATTGGCTCCGTTGGCTCATAGCGTCAGTTGCGGTTCATCGCAAGGGTGAAGCGGAGTGTAAGAAAGTCGGGATCAACAGGAGCGAGGTTCGCGGCACCGGGCCTCGAACCCTTCGACGATGGGCGCCCGGGGTTTCTTTCCCGAGGGGTCCGGGGGATTTATGGCGGCGATTCGGGAGCCACGAAAGGCCGAATTGTTTTTATGGGGCTGTAAAAGGCGGCAGGTGGCTCTTGGCGTTCGGGGCTGTTTTGTTGCGGCCTGCCACTCAGCCCTGGGGGACCGACTCGCCCGCCCCCGCGGCGCTTGATCTCTGCCGCCCTGGTCAGGAGCAAGAGGAGGAGAAACAGAGTCCGTGGTACGGAGGGGATTGCTGCGGAAGCGCGGAGGCTTAAATGACGTCCAAGAAGGGCTTTACGGGACACGTGTAGAGCGTCACGGACCCACATTGGCTCAGGAATGACGTAGCGAGATCGTAAATTGGATCGCATAGGTACTCGACGTGAGAGCGTTTAAGCTTTTGTTGGGCGTCTTAAGTGGGAATACATTTCTTGTAATCAATTAAACGCTCAAACTATTCGTATAATGTTTCACCCGTTCTTTCATAAGGTGCACGTTTCAAGTTCCGAAAACAAATTATGGCAGGTCAAATAAGAGACCAACAAGCACATGGAATTATTTCATATTGTGAAAACCTGAGACCGATTAAAAAGGAACATGGATAGATAGCACACGCAAGACCCCCGGGTAATTTTGCTATTGTAACGTACAATTTCAATCGTGTTTTATATATTTGAGCCTAAAATTATTCGTGTACAGCGGCACGATTAAGGACATCTACGGTTTCGTTGAGTGGTACTAAACTAAAGTGAAAAACGTTTCGCTCATACATTACGAAACGCGGCCTACCGGCGGCCGCAGCAAAACGTTAATTCGGCTGCTTGCGCTGCCTCGTGTTCATAGCCGCCGAGTGACTTTAACTGTTTTAATAACTTACACTTAAATTAGTTTAGTTATAATCCCGTTTGCGTTTTAGCAGTGTTGTAAACGCGAGCTAGAAAGGAAGCTCCTAAAGTGGGCACATCTTGTTGAATAAGGACTCGGTGCGCGACCCTGGAAGCGCGCTTTGTTCCTTGCACGGTCGCTCGGAGGCGTAGCCGCACATCAGGCGGGATACGTAGGTAGGACGCGCAGAGTCACTCTACGCTTAGAGTATCGACACTGGGTTCCCTGATTTTCTGCTAAGCGCCGCCATTTTCGCTCCTTAGTGTACAGCGGGTGCACATGGCGATCGTTAGGATTTGAAAATGCGACTTCCTGAAACATGTGCGTACGGGGTCAGGGAGCCGCAATATCGGTTTGCTTTGTCCTCAAACTGTTTTTAATATTCCCTCAGTATAAAGATGCTTTTCCCGCCATTTCGGAAGAGGCTCGAGATAACTAGGAACAATGATTTCAAGCAGCGATGTGGCTGGAGTGTCGTAACTCCGAAGCGTAGCTTATTGGGTAGCTCCACGAGCGAGCGTGTGTGTGAGGCGGGCTTGCCTGTTGATGGAGCTGACGCTGGGTATGTTGTCCTGGTCGCAGACGCCATCGGCCAAGAGCCGGTCCCGGATCTCCCAGGCGAACATGGTGGGGTTCTGCTTCTTGTAGTTTGCGATGGCGTCCACCACCTTGGGCGTGGCCACCTTCGGCTTACTGCCGCCGATCACGCCCGGACGGATCGAGCCCGTCTCGTAGTACCTGCAAGCACGACAAAGAAACGCTCAAACACCGGGGCACCGAAAGTATGTTCCTCTAGTCACTGAAAGGGTGAGAACGGCAGGACGGTTCTTTTGGGATGCTTGACTCCCTGCACGCGCTTGTTGCCTTCCGTCGTGCTTTGGCTGCGCGTGCACGCTCGAGGCTCACGAGGAGTGTTATCGAAGGGAAGATGCTCCTCCCAGTAGTTCTAATACTGTAAAAAACTATAACTTACTCCAAGGTGTTGGGAAGCAAAGAAGCCGTAACGAGTGTAATGATTTACATCTCGCTTTGTACAGGACCCGGCACAGCTAGCTCAGACACTCAATACACTATTTAACGCAATTTTCTTTTTTTCAACCGCTTGTAGTCGTACATTTCGAACAACCATATTTGATTGCACGCATGCGCAACGTAATAATATGTCGGCAGGTGTAACCATACATACAGGCTAACATACTTGAGATAAATGAGTTGAAACCGTTATTTTGTTCTTCAAGTTAGCTGTGCAAATCAATCATTCAGTCAGTCAAACGATCATTTAATCGATAGAAATGTATTTCTTCCTTTGTACGCAGAGATGTTCTACCAAATCAACCGCTGCATGTAAAGGAGACGCCACATTGTCTCATCTGACGGCGCAAGCTGATACGAATGAAACTAGTAATTCTATGTGATACAACGTGGGCTGTATTTAATCCAAAAATGTAAAAAGGAAGCAATTTTTTGTTTCGTCTAGACACGATGGGAACAGCCATGTTTCACAGACCACGCGGTACGCCTTAAATTCTTGTTTCAGAAAGATGCTGGCCGAATCACCCCTTCTTTACGGCGGCCACTCTGTTTATAGATAAAAGGGTGTTTGGGGGGCTATGCTTTGTAGCAGTTGATGCTCGCGGTTAATATGAACCGTACTCAGTTTTTTTCTATTAACAAACAATTGCTACGGCGTGTCAAGATTCTTTTTTTAAAAAATCTGTTGCGGTGATTTAGAGTTTTTCTTTGCATCATTTCGGTTAACTTTAAAGTGTTACCGTTGCTGTTCTTGTTGGTAATGGTGAAAGCGTCACATTAGGATAACGTCCGAAATCACAAAAATAAAAAAAAATAAAAAATCACGAACCTATATGTGTGGTCATAACCACTCACGTCCCGCGTTTCATTGTTGCGAGAACAACCGCAGCTCGTCGTATAAATTTCCACCGAGGATACGCCTATATAAATTACGCAGCTTGTTGAACGCCCACACGCTCACCCCGGAGCCCTAATCAAAAAGAAGAATGCAGGGTTGCGTAACTCTCCCCCGTAACAAAAAAAAAAAAAAAATATTACAAAGACGAGGTTCTCGGGGCTATACGAAAGCTTCCCACCAGTGCGACCTATACGAGAAGTCATACACTCCGTTCCCCACACGATGGACCACAGCGGATCCTACGAGCCATCCCAGCCAATCAAACTCCGTGAAAGTATCACGTGACGAGGTGCCCCGCGCGTCGCTTCTTTGTCACCTCTCAAAGGTGATGGGACGCTCCCGCGTCATGTGATATGCTTCGTGGGTTCATGGCGTCCTCTGCTGTCCATTGTGACGCGAGTATTGCGAGAGGTGAATGTTGGGGGGGACGGGAGAATGTGAGTCGGTTCGAACAGGCGACCGGGCGCGTCGGCCGGAGGTGCCCGATTTGTAACACGTGGGCTCCAAACCTGCGGAGCCCCGTGCCGGCAGATTTCAAATTAGCTATCGATCGAGATCGCTCTCCCCGTGTCCTTTTCGCCCCCTCCGCCATCTCATCCCCGGCACCTCGGCCGCGCTTTCTAAATTACCCGACGGTCTCTAGCCCGGACTCGTCTAATTAATACGCGCGGATCCTCCTCCCCGCGAGTTTCCTGGAGCTCAAATCGCGCGCGAACACTCCGGAGAAGAAAGCCTATTGAAATGTGGTCGTGAAGACAGGAACTGCATGCGACGTGACCTGACCGCACGAGCCAGAGCACCTCCCGGAATCTCTTAACGCGTACTTGTTCTTATTTTTATTTTTAAGTTTGTATTCCGTTTTTTGGTAACCTTTTTCGCTGAAACGTAGTCTACTCTTAAATATAAAAAGATAACAATGAAGAGAAAGGAGAGATAAATGCAAGGTGAGAAGTTAGATATCATAACACCCACAGTTCGCTACCTTGAGAAACCTTCTAACGTATTCCGGAGTTTAGTAAAAATTCATTATGCCTTGGAGCGCCATTTTCAGCTAACAAATAAAATGTTTCACTAGTTTCTTTTTCTTATATATATATATATCTATAGTGCCTTCCTTTAGTACACTGCCGGTCAGACAGTTAGCACGAACATATGTCATCGGCGTTTTTCCACGTTTTACACGGATGGGCATTGATGAGTGACAATCTTTCGCGCTTTAGTTGGTACTCCGAACGAGCGCTTTCCACCGAAAGAATGATTCTGATCACTGTATTTTAATTTTAAAAAAAAGAGGAAGAACAAACGGTCACTTGTTCGTGCTAACTGTGTCGTGCCCTCTACACGAAATCGTCGGCGTTGATACGTGCGGAAGCTAACCCGCGTATGCAAATACGCATTCTAAACAGCGTGAATGTGTGTTACATATGTCAAAGACCGCTAAAATGGATTCTTGAACTCCGATACACTGATCCTTTCAAACCGTCCAGACCAGCCATTAAACTCACAGTGAAACAAATCAGCCATCTCTTCCGCTGCAAGCCGGACCCTCCCCATCGTGATGGTGCGTCCTCTTCGAACAGCTGCGCGCCTAAGCACCCCTTTTCAATCGAACCCTCTCAGAGACCGCTCCTCGTAAACGAGTTGACCGCTCGTTTGACCGACAATCGGACATCACGAGCACATTCTCGACTTTATCGGGGGACGACACGCTCGCACTCACGCACTCACGCACACGCTCTCGCGTTAACCGCTTGACGGAGGCAGTTACGACGACCCTTCGCGCGGCGAAGCGGGATCCCAACCCAAGGTTCGCCCCCACCCTTAGCGGGTCGTCGGGGCTCGCGTCGTAGTAGCGCGCACTACCATCTGGCCGCTAACTTCGAAAACAGGGGCGGCCGGAAAACGCGGGGTTTGGCGGAAGGGGGGAGGGGAGAGAGCCACAATTAAGTCGAGCCGGTCTTTCACGAGATCATTACGCTGCAACGGGACGCTTTTGTCGAACGCGCAGAGTGGGCGCTCGAACGGCATCCATCAAGTCGTTGTTCTGGCCACGGGCTCCCTCGGAGAACTCGCTCTTCGTCCCCCCCTCCCTCCCTCCCGGTTCGGAAAGAGAGGCGACCCCCGGCCGAGGTCCATTTTAAAGTCAGATTAAGACAGACGGTTGTCGGGTGGCGCTGCTGATGTCATTATTACGCACACCGCTGAACCGCCGCTGATGTCATCTGGGGCTCATATAAAGGCCCACCGCGAGGATCGCCCCCCCTTCCCCTATCCGGACTCTTGGCCGGCTGGCTTTTTGTCGTCGCCGCTTTTGTCCCTGTTGTTTTTGGCGCTGGTGTCTCTATATGTGTTTGCATTATGTATATATGCGAGGGAAATAGTTGTGTGTGTGTAAGGGGGGGGGGGGGAGGCTGCAAGTGTTGCTTCTCCCTGCTTGAATCCGGGGTTAAGGGTGGGGCTTGAATGCCACGCTGACTGGCTGACTGCGTTTCGGGCGCGGGGTGTAGTAACGCGTTTGCGCTCGCCGGGGTTGCGGCAGTACTGGCGTTCCCCGGGGCGCACTGCAGGACGGGCAGTAAGTTGCGTCTGTCCGTCGGGTGCGCCTATTGTTCCCGCGCTAAATTACCCAGAAGTTATGTCATTTCGGTAGCGTTTTCCGGGGAAGCGCAGTAAATTTCCTTGGTGCGGGGGGACGTGGGCGCGTGGTCAGCTTGTTCGCGGGTGCCGGCGCGGAAGGAGTTTGCCAGTCCTCCTCCTCGTGTTCGGCTAGGTGCTGCGTGCGCTCGCTCGCTCTTATTGGCACTGTTCTATCGGGAGGGGTTCGTTGGAGCGTTTCGTTCATTTCGAAAAGGTTGCGCTTGGGGTGGGGGCAGTGTGCAGTCTTGCGAACTTGGCGGCGTAACACCGAACCAGATTGGATTAAGCGGTGTCGGGTGAACATCTGCGAGCGGCGGTCGCACATATGGGGCCTTCTCTGTGAAAGCTACGTAGACGTAATTTCGCGGACGCTTCTTGAATTTGGCTTCTTAATTTGATATTTTATTTGAGTAGAACTTGTGATCTGCGGAACGACCCTTTAAATTACGATTAATTACGATGCCTTAAATTTGACTTGAAGGTTACTTCAGATGATTGTGTGTAACCATCGTTTATGGCACTGATGCTCTGCGATTGTTGTCCACTCCTATATTAAAGGAGTTAAGAAACGAATATTCAAAGTGAACAATGCAGTTAAGACGTTGCAACGTCGCAATGATAACAATTTTAACAGAGAGCAGACAGAAGACTTGACACGCGTGGTGGGGCTGGTTGAAGTTCGAACGCTCGCATGGTTTAACACAGTGACGTGGCCCACGTTTTAGGTCGCATTATGTCCCTTCCGACGACCCTATGATTGCGTCCAAGATTATATTCCTGAGTTTGTTTATTGTCCTCCAGCAAAACTATATCGGGGGAGATTAACCGAAATTAATTTTAATTGCGCTTCGAACTTTTAAGTAACATACAAAACATAATTCACGCGGACGACACCCGTCATCTGGAACGATATGAAAGATGTGGCGCCCACCTTCCGAGGATCTTGGAGACGCAGCCGTGGGAGACCCTCAGCTGTCGGCTGATGTCGCATGGTCTGACCCCTTGGTGAGCCAGTTCCACGATCCGCTGCCGCACCACGTCCGGCAACGGACGCCCGTTCACGAACACTCCGCCCAGCTGGTTCACGCCACCATGACCTGCGACAGAGAATCAAACACGTCTTGAGAGACAGCCACGTTGCTGATGGTGTGTAACAACGAAGAGTTGCGCTTTTATCGGCACGACTCCGCGCTGTCCTTGACGCTTCAAGATCTGTTGCTCATCGAATTTAATGCACGTGGTTATTTAAAAGGCCATAAACATTGAAAGTAGAAGGATATCTTGCGTTACTTGGGACATGGGTTTTACTATTCTGTAATGTTATTTATGCACCACATACGTCCAGCTGTGGTTTTAGTCATAAGCTCTTGACGAACCTTGGTCAACAGCACAGAACAAAATATTTTTTTTTCATGATTCTGCTACGTTTAACGTTCTCAACAAATCTAAAAACCTTGAACAAAGATACAGATATTTCTTTTTTCTAATCGTAAGTAAAAAAAAAAGCAAAAAAAAGGCTTTATGACACAAAGTAAAGTCGTTAATTTTTTTACAGATTGTAATAAAGTGTAAACAAGTCGTTCAACCCGTGCCGGCTAACGGTCAAGTAATTACTACCCTTAAATATATGCACGTTAAATACCCTATAATATAATTCGCACTGTATTGGTGATACAGATCTATTGTTAGCCAGTTTTGTCATACCTCAAAGGCAGGTCGCCCTGTGGCTGCCTAAACATTCAACGTTTACTTCGCTTTTTTTTTTACTTGCACGAGCAAGACGACGAATGTAGCAAATAATTAAGCGCGAGTCTTGGCACTAGAGCCAAATGAGACATTCCAGTCTAAACCGCAAGAAACTGTGTGGCGCCAACTGCCGCTCCTATCCTCCTTGTATCTTCTCGGGGAGAATTTACCTCTGGAGCTACCAAAATATTCTACCGCTATGTGAGTTGCTATTAAATTGCCACGTGTAGGCAACATTTAAGGAACCTCGCAAACTATGTATAAAGTTCAGACGACAAAGACGAAGAAGTCCTCGCAGACGCGGACTTACTGCTCGTGGAAATCAGGTATATGAATAGACATTGTTGCGGCTTGGTTGCCTAGTTACTATTCGCGGGCTCCATAAATGTTATTCGTGTTTCGTTCTCTTCACTAAAGAGTGACATAAAATCGTAAAATAGATTGGTGTTGCGCAGCTCCCTAATGAGGAACTAATCGACTCTTACGGAGTTTTTATTTTTTATCGACCTCATAGTGCAAAAATAGTTGAGAAAAACTTAGTAAAAAAAAAAAAAAGACATAAAAAAGGAACAAACACAAGACCAAGGACCGCCGAACCGTGCCCGTGTTCCCTGTATATTGTTTTGTCTCGTTTTTTTATGTTCGTGTGTTATTAGATAACCTTTCCGCCTCTACAAAACACAAAGGTAGCCAAATCTTGTACAAAAAATTTCAAAAATAAATCTTTGTATACACTTAAAAGGTTTCTGATAAAAAAAAAAGCTAACCTCACAAGTATTAGAATGAAACGCCCTCTTGTTTCTTTTCGTGTTTAAAAATAGAACAAAACATTTTCCCCCCTTCGGTTAATATCTAGCCATGAAGACGTTAATTGAACTTTAAAACTCAGCCTTAAAGTTGATTTAAAAACAGAATTCGGAACTATCGTATCTAATGACCCAAAGAAACCAAAACAAAATACGAAATAATTTTTGTGCATCCTTTGATTTCCAGAGACGGAAAACTCCATTGTCCGTACAGCTTTATAAGCTGAGATAAACTGTTCAACTTTGACTTTAATGAAAATGAAAGAAAAATATTTTAGCTTCCCCCTGTTTCACCGTTTTTTTGTGGTCAAAGAGTCACATGGCAACCCTTTTTTTTTTTTTTTTTTGTTTCGCCTGTCCTCGGTTGACGGCAACATAAAGTTGAATGCAGGCAACCACGCATGAACAATGCATTGTACGTGGCCCACTCACCCAACAAAAATAACACAATTGACTAATTTCTATGCGGACAGAAAGACTTTGACTACGAAGGCCACTACTGTAATTCGTCAGACATTGCCAAGAAGGAGCCGCAATCTCAACGCTGCCTCAGTTCCTTACATCACCGCCAGATTTTTCTCGACGACGCCTTCCTTCAACGCGCTTCGCAATGCAGTCTGGTCCCCGCCTGGAGGTTTACGAAACCCGGGAGGTACGCAAAGCCACAGTCAGAGAGAACCCCCTTTCGCCTATCCTCCGTACCGACCTTACGACGGCCCGCAGCAGGAGCCATGATACGCAATCTATAGCGCTGCAAGCATATAGCGTGACTGCGCGCAACGCGCGTCGTTGCGCTCCTTCGTAGCCTCCTCTATACTCACAAAGCCTGGCAGTTCGACGACGGAGCCATAGAGTGCTCGGTCGCACATGTGGAGCGCGAGGATCTGGTAGCACAGAGCATCAAATAACCATTTCTCGGGGAACCTGGACGTCAGCGCACAGCTTTTACAGCGGTGAGGACCCGAAACACGCTTGTTCGCTCGGGAGAAGTGTGTTTCGGCGTCTCGCCGCAGCGGGGCGCCAGTCACGTGGCTCTCCTCTTATTCGTTGTCTGCCGCTCCACCTTTTCCATTTCTGCGGCCGCTTCTTGTGGCGATTTGCCTGACTTTGTCTGTATATTAGCAGGCCATGGCTCCTCTGGAGAATCAGATGACGCTCACGCGGCAATGTACTGGCTCCGATGGCTCATGGTGTCCGCTGCGTCCATCGCAAAGTGAAACGAGACGTTTTTTCTTCATTCCTTCTCCAGGTAGATGGGAGGAAAGTTCCGCCCTCCCAAGTCATCTACCTTCAGGTTAATTTTTTTTTTGTCACGTCGCACGCGTTGTTCAATAAACGCCGTGTAGCTGATTCGGCGTTATCGACACCGAAGGCCGCCCGTAATTCAGCCTTGCAGACCAAACACGCGCAACCTCCTGGTTGCACCGAAGTTTTTGCCACTAATTTTGTCAAACGAGCAAACTAAGCCGTTAGAGACGGCGAAGTTCCGGACCAGTGCCAGCAGTGCTGCGTACACTTGGCTAGGGTGACCGTCTCCGCAACTCCGCAACCCGAGTGCCAGGGACGATCGCCGCGGTTTTGTATTTCAGCGTGTTACCGACATTGCCGTGGAAGTGTTGCGTTTTGTGAACGAAGACTGAAATCGTCGACTCGCCAATGATGTCTCCATACGTTTCGCGTACCAGTGGTGTAACAGCAAAATGAGACGACCTGTACCGTCGCAGGTCGACATTCTGCTTTACATAAAGGAGTTTAAGAGACCGCTTGGGCGATTACGTGCAATCGATCGACATTCGGGTCATCTTGGAACGCTGGTCTAAGCCGTAGCTCCTATGTAGCCTCCGCCTGCAATGTCGTTTTGTTCCCCCCCCCCCCCCCCCCCTCCCTCAAGAGCGATTTCACTCTCGGAGAAGGACTGAACAGGCTTGAAATGTGACGGACGGAAAGTACGTATATTTATAGCTTCACATATTAAGTTTAATAAAAAAAAAAAAAAAAAAACGATGTGGATCTGGGATAATTTATTTTCTGATATAGCCGGATAGTGTTTAGTCAACAGTCGGCTTGTGGCCTAGAAGCTCGTTTACGAACTCACCAAGGCGTAGCCAGCGGCGCACAACACCTGTCGCAAATCGCGGCTTGGACCGCATTCATGTTCGCAGAATGGCGATTTGCTCTGCTCTTGAAGCGCTGCTTCCCGCTTAATGAATACTTCAATTACAAAGGATAATTCGAGACGATCGATGCAGCCACACACAAACAAACCAAAGCAAAAACAAATGCTATGACAAAAAAAAAAACTGACGTCCCTAGTGTTATTCTACGACGTTCTTTTTGCGGGGACGCGAACATATGGCTCTAAGGAACAGCAATTGAGCGGGTTGTTTTATCGGCTGTCGCAAATAATTACGGCATGAACGTTTAGTTTGTGGACCAAAAGATTCATCCCCTTGGCCGTTGCAAATATCTTCTGAGGAATTACATCACTGAGAAGAGATAAACATACTGGGAACATTATGTGTTTCTTAGGTAATCATCAAAGAAATTCGAACCTTCAAAACGGCGGGTATCAAAAACGGAAGCGCAGTTTTCGAAATTAATAGTCAGTGTAGTGTGCGTTCATGTTGATATTTGTGTGGCCTGTGCATGTGTATGCGCTTATTGAATACGTTCAGATGATGCTTCTGGTCTTCTTTCACGCTTCGCGATAGGTATTTTCTGGTCACCGTACGACGATAAGCCAAATGGGCAGCCTGGAATAAGCTCTTTCGAGGGCGGCTTTTGGTTTCGCAAATGATTTACCACTGCTCCGTGACGTGCGGTGCTGACGAAGGAATTGTGGCTCGAGGAATAGCAAAGGCAAGACGTGAAGTGTGCGAAGTGGCCATGTTTCAGTAGTCTCCGTTTAACATCGCAGTAATCACAATGGTAAGACTGAGTGACTGCGTTCGAAACGTAAGTTTCCTTACGGGCGCGGGAAGCAGGCTTCGGGAATTAATACAATTTGTAAAAAGCACGTTTCTTCATTGCTGCTTTTCTGGTTTTGAAGACATTCATTTGTTTAGATGGGTGCGAAGCAGCTGACTGCTTTTCTTGCGATATCTGCTTGCAGGCACTGGGGGACCGCCAGTAGCCCTGGGTATTTGCTTGTTCGAAAACGATGTCAATTTTCGATTGAATCGCGGCAGCCTTCCGTGTAATGAGCGAAAATAGTTGTAGAGTCCTCGCTAAGCTTTATTGAGCTCGATTCGCGCATTTCGGAGACGCCACAAAGAGATGCAGACGAGGGAGGAACTTTGCTCCCCTTTTTTTCATAGACGAACGTTCATCCCTTTCTGCGGGAACATATGCTACAAGATCGTTCCTCCCTTATTCAAAGAATATATAGACCATTTTTTTCTAATAGCGTAGCTTCCACCGCAATGTCTACTAAGGGGTGAACAGAGTATGTATAGGACATAATCTGTTCACTCCTAGGCTGACATCGCGATGGAAGGTACGTGTGCTCGCTAGACCTATCGTGCCTGGATATTTAACCACGTGAT